TCTCTCTACGAAGTTTTGAGAGAGTTTCTCTCCTTAGAATTTTCAATACTTTATCTCTCTAAAATTTGATATAGTTTTTCATATTTGCCGCGTACCAAATATGTGTAATGTAGTTTTCGCACAAATAGTTTTATACCTACCAAATGTGCTCTAAGTTTCCGATTGAGGGGCCAACGAGTGGAATCCATAGGCCTTGGAAGTTAAAAAGAAAATTAGATTTTGGCATGGCAATAAAATCTCGAAAAAGTTAAGTGATTTTTCAATATTCAATTTCTATGAAATTTTAATATCCTAGCTATTGAGCAAACCAAACAATGAATTGTAGTAATATCCAAGAAATTAAAAATCCATCCCAAAATCCATATGCCCAAATGGGCTCTTGAGGATTTAAGGGCAGGCATATATTTTGTCCCACGTCGGGGACATTAATAGGTTGATGGCGCACAACGCATAAAAAATGGGTCAGGTGAAGTTGGTGTGTGGGTGATTAATACGTTCAAGGGGCACAACGCATAAAAAATGGGTCATGGTGTAGTGGGTGTATGGGGTTGGGCAAGCATACATGGCTGCTCAATTGTATAGAGAGGTATTTGAGGGGTAAAAAAATTAGAAAAAAAATAAAAAATATGGAAACTGGTTGGCCTGAAGCAAGAACCTTTAGCCCGATTTATTCAGGGAATTAAGATTGCCTTTTTGAAAATCGGTTTTGGATTAGACAATTCTGATCCAAATTGACATGTTTTAAAACACTATTTAGTATTGAGTAGAAGGTGGGTTTGGAACTTAAGTTCCAATCAAATCCCAAACGGAGTAAAAGAGTGGCTAGAAACTTTCTAAAATCACACAACACAAATTCGAATAGATGGAACCCAACATGCTCCTAGAGGAGCACATTGTGGACTTAATTCTTCAAATGAATGATTTATCTGCTTGCATATCTTTTTTAAAATAATCATATATAAAGTAGATCCCAAAAATAGTAATAAATAAATAAATTTCCTTAGGCAGCAAGTTCAACAATATGCACCATAAAAAGCTACAATGTAAGACTTAAAAGGTAATATTGTATCAATAAGCTGACCACGGCTCATTAAACGCAACGCTTCTTACTTTCCTTTTAACTTTTTTTTTTTTTTTGTTTACAGTGTGCTCCCGAAGGTGTACAACATACATATGCACATAGTAATTTAATAATTTTTCCAAAAACATAAGTTCAATATAAATAAAAAAACAAAATAAGGTAGACGTTACAGAATATTCATCAAAATATAGTCGTACGTCACCGTTAAAAAAAAAAAATCATCAAAAAATCTATAAGGGGAATGCTCCCGTGTATTTTAAATACACCATGCTATGGAGTATTAAAGTTTTTTATGCTTTTTTCCTTTGAAATTCTTTTTTATCCTTTTTCTCTCTCTGTCTCTCGCCCTCTTGTATCTCCAGTGTACAGCTGAATAAATCTCCCTGTAAAAACCCAACCTTCTCCTCTCTCCCCCGGCCCCTCTCTCTGGAAAAGTCAAATTCTTTCTCTCTCACTACCTGTAAAAACCAGGTGTCCCTCTCTTCTCCTTTTGTTTTTTAAAAAAAGAGTATATTTATTTCATTAATATATCAACACTATTACAACAATACATTATAAAAGGAAAAAGGCAAAAAAAAAATTAAAGAAACATATCTTCCGAAATGAACAATTCATCCATCAAAATTCCTGAATTAGCAAGACCATCCGTCATCTTATTTGCTTCCCTATAGACATGCTGAAAAGATACTGCCTCCCTATAGACATGCCGAAAGGATACTGACTCCCTATAGACATGCTGAAAAGATACCGACATTTGAGTCGTAATGTACATTACTTCCATCCATTTACTTCTTAAATTCCATGGTGTACGAGATTCTTTCGAACACCAATTGATAATGTTCGTAGAAGCGAGTCCCTCTCTTCTCTCTCTCTTTATCATCAAACCTCTTTCTCTCTTCCCCCTCCTGCTCTAAATCTAGAAAGCCAAATTAAAGAACCATTCATCCTTCCCTCAAAACCCCCTCCAAAAGCAGAGCTTTAAGATCCAGCGATGTAAAATTGGGTTGTTTTTAGTGTTTCTTGTTCTCAGACTATAGGGATGAGAATGGGCCGGATTGAGTCGGGATTCGGACCCAAAAAGTATTCAAGGGATCTAGATCCAACATTTGGATCTAAATCCAGATCTGAAAAGTATGCATGGAATTTAAAATCATACCCGGACCCAATCAGATTTAAAAAAATTATTTTACATATTATTTTATATCTATAAAATAATATATTACAAAAAATAATGTATAACCTATATAAATAAAATAATATATAATATTTTACTCTGTGTTGGATCCAGATCGGATCCATTTGTACCCGAATTCAATCCCAATTACTATTCAAATCCAAATTTTAGACCGGATCCGACCCGTCAGAATCAAATCTTGGATCCAAACTGAGAGCCAAATAGGATCCAGAGGTTGGGGGATTTTGGATCCAAACCAAGTAAATTCTCAACACAATTTTCAAATTAACAGGCCCTTGATACGGTAGTTTTAGGAGAGGGAAAATAGGGAGTTTGAGGGTTATGTGAGCAGTGGGTTCCCTAGCATGAAAAGAGATAAGCTAAGGCTTGGGCCTCGAGGCATTGAATTTCTATAGTAAACTAGGATTGGGCCTTGAGGCATTGAATTTCTATAGTAAACTAGGATTGGGCCTTGAGGAGAGCTGAGCTGAACTATTATCATTCAAAAAAATATCACAACTCTAAGGGAATTTAAACTCTTAGAAGGAATTTAAACCGTTGTTGTTGCACTCTCTGAGACTAGCCATGAATCATGTAAAAACCCAAGAAAAAAATCACAGAAAAGAGCAAATTGTGGTTAACAATACAATTGGCTCTTGAATGCTTGATGGGTGGCCCTAATTTGAAATCCAAATTTGTAACAGATACATAACCCTTCTCTTCATCCAATATCAATTCCACAACCTAAAAAGAGAAATCCTCTGGTATTTGCAGAGAATGAAAAAAGACGAACCTTAGGCAATAAGATATGTATGGTAACAATCCTTTTATGGTAGCATACGAATCGAGAATTGGAAGTTGCAGTAAGAGAGAGAGAGAAAGTAGGGTGATGGAATGGAAAAATATCGAGGGAGAAGATGTGAGATAGATGAAGAGAGGTGATGGAAAAGGGAAGAGACAGGAATGGTAAAGATTATGACATTTCAATGAGAGGGGTTTCTGCTGCTCTCTGTACCCTCCTCTATGTCATCTTTACGGTTCCTCCAGCATGCTCTTGCAGAGTGGAGGGGCAGAGCAGATTAGCGAAAAGGAGAGGATGAGGTGAAAACCGACGAGGGCGAATTGCAGGGACAGAGAGGAAAGATAAGAATTGCCATTACGTGCGGAAATGGGGGTGAAAGGGTAGAGAGAGAAATAATAAAGGTTTCAATAGGGATCAGAGAGAAAGGGGAAATTTGCATAAGATAATTTAACATAAAAACCCTTGGCAGGATCCCCAAATCAGTGGGCTTTGATATCTTTTGATTTTTAAAATGGCAAGTCCAATACACTTCAACACCGACTATTGAAAATACCTATGATCATTCCCATATACATATTTATAAAAAAGAATGAAACTAATAATATGACTTGACCAGGAATGAATAGTATAAAATATGCTCCTAACTGTCGATCGGATAATTAAAAATGCGAAGTTTACTTCAGTTTTTACAAGTTTCATATGAAATTTTAGTGTATACTTGAGACCATCACACACCATATAAAAATATAAAAAAGTAAAAAATAAAAAATTTATGACTAAAAAATACATATGACTAAATTACCTCCATCATTTTACTTTGGACACTTTATATTTTGTGAAAGGGAAAAGTTTATATAAGGTTGCAACCTTAAAATGTAAAATCATAGATGCACCTCAAAAATCTATCTGAAATGTTGTTTTAATGTTTAAAAAACCCTCTAATCAAACATCTCGATATCGAGATGTATGAATATGAAAAAAAAAAGTTTTTGAGTCCCGGAAATAGTGCATCTTGCAACACATTTTCTAGACTGTCATTTTCAAGATTTTCATATATTTATAGATCTACTTAATTTTAACCATTTTTTAAATTTAAATTTTCTAATTAAGTATAAAAATATATTTTAAGATAATCTAAGAATTTTTTACAACAAAATTACAATGTTATGATAAAA